GGGAAAGTGTTCCATTAATGCTAACTTTGAGTGTTGACTTTGTATGGTTGGCCTAGGTACTGCTTTCTCAAGATACGTATATTTCTGTTCTTAACAGATCATTTGGAGGATTTGCTAAAGCGAAAAGAAATCAAGATGAAATACAGGCACTTGCTGAAAGTTTGAAGCGGGATGGAAGAGCATTTCAAGAAAAGGTCTATTATAGTGCTGGTTACGATAGTCCATTTAAATTGCTGAACAGACATAATGAAGTTTGGCTTATCAGAAAAAGCTAAAATATTAGTACAGCAATACAGATTACAGTATTAACTTTTAAATGCCTACTTAATGTAGTTTTCCTTATATGAAAGCTGTGTTTTTGTATATTTTCTAACGTATTTCTTTGCTTCTACCATTGCCTAAATTTCTATGCTGCTTTAAAATGGATTTTTTTTTTTGGCTACAATATGGCTAATAATAGGATGGTAATAGTAATTAGGAACCAGAGAATAAGAAGCCAAAGTATACCTTGAAAGTGTGACAAATTTCTCTTTTCTATGAACTTTACTGAACTTTCTACAAAAACAGTAGTGCTTATGCAAACGTTTTCCACTAAACTGGAGGCTTAATCTGGGGAGTTAGTAAATTTGAAAGGCAGGTAGGGCAACCTAGAGTCTCCATGAATCCCGTAGCTGTTTCTGGAGTCCCCAAGATGGTATTCCTTCATTAGGAGGCAAACTGCTAAATAGCATTATTTTGCTGCTGATCTTTGCTGCAAAATCAAACGTAAAGACCTTTGGTAGGCTTGATGCACTAATTAAATAAAAAACCACCTCAAATATTCCCTCCTTTCAAAGAGAAGGGAAAGAGGCAGAAAATTATGTCCCTGCTTCATCATCCAACCCCCATCATACCTCTTGATCCTTGGCCATTGGGGGAAAAAAATGAAAAGGCACAACTCTTGAACTACCAAAAAAAGAGGATACCTGTCCCTCTCCTAAGGTAACCCAGAAGGCCCTACATGCTTCCCCCTTTAGCCAAATGAGAGTGCCTTTGGACCCTTTTGAAAACGTTACCTAAAAGATAACAGAGCTAGTGTCAACTTCAAGCACTGGGCTGAAGATTTTTAAACATTGCTGAATTTGGGGGCAGTTTTTAGGGTGAGAATGAGAGCAGCTTGCTTCAGAGGGGCCTCCCATTCCCTATCACTTCCTTAAAACTACTGTGGTCCTTAGTTCTTTGAACATTGCCCATGCTTGTTCTAAATAATTATTGAATATATAGGTAGTCCTCGTTTAGTGACTGCAATTGGTTCCAGTGACTCAGTCATTAAGTGAAGCGGTCATTAAATGAAAATTACATGACTGCGACTGCTTATGATTTTACTTCAGCTTTCCTCTTCCCCACTACCTTGCTCTTTGGAATACTCACCCCAGCGCTGGAATAATTAGCAAGAAGAGAATTAATGTTTGTATTTACATTCATTGGAGAGGAAGGGATGACAAGAGAGCAAGCAGGCACACAATGTGGAATACACATTGAAAGGAATGCACTAGCACCAGCTGTTTGCTTAGTGCACTTGGGGCTGCCGCTGGCCTAGGAAGCAAACAAAAGCCTTCAGTGTGAAACTGATTAGGGTCTTGTCAGTTTCAGATAGCTGGGCTAGCAGGCTGGAGGTTCTAATAAACTAATTAAGGTAACAGCTGACCTTGTTTACTTTAGGTTAGCACCTTTTGGGGATGTGCTGCAGATGGAGAAAAGCATCTCAGGAAAGATAGCTTGTTTAAGCAATCTCTCCACCCTGCAAAGGGGCAAAAAAAGGTGGGGGGGGAACAAGTCAGGCAAAGGACAAGGCAGTACTGTACCAGCTGACTGTAATGGTGAACACATGACAGAGAGAAACCCTGCAAAGGTCATAAATGCAGGCATTGGTTGCAAAGTTACTTTTTCATCACCGTGGTGACTGTGAACAGTCGCTGTCTGAGGCAGTCACTGAATGAGGACTACCTATATTTCAGAACTAAGAAGGGAATATCCTCAATTAGAAAACAAGCTTCCAGTTGATTGTTACAATTAGATGCCACAATGTATGTAAATGATCATTCGCATGCTATAAACATTCAAGAATATTCAAGCCTGAAGCAGTAATTTATACTTAGATTCAACTGACATTGGTTTGTGTTTTGCTTTTGGTGAAAATATTTGTGAACTCTTGAGAGCCATAGTGGAGGGAATTTATCACTCCAGCTCATTATAGTTCAATACTGTTGTTTTCCATATAGCATGCATTTTTTTTCTATCATGGAAACTTGCAATATGGCTGATCCATGTTGCTATAATGAAAAGTAACACAATTTGGTCAGATGATGATGTGGGGTTCCAGACTCATAGATTAATGCATCATTAATGTATGATTTCCATCACCTATACTGCATTTTAAACTATGTATTTTTATCTGTGAAAGTTTGTAAGATGCTATACACTTTTTTAAAAACTGGATTAATGTAGAGTTCAATCCTTATACTTTAGCTAAAAGGCATAACACGTTTCTCCCAGTTATCCTGTATTTTATTCAGTATAATTAATATGGAAAACGACTAATTGTATTGTTACTTCTAAATGAAATGCTATTGTATTCTTCCTCATGCTTGTGTATATTCTAGGGAATAACAAACTGAAAAATATATGAAATATTAATTTTATGTCATGATTAATAGAGAAGATACTCCTTTGAACGTTAATCTCTTAAACTGTGGCAAACCATAAAAGTCTTGCTTTTAAAATGTCATGCCCTCTTACAGTTGGCTTGACCATACCAAACACTTAAGGTGCTTTTAGTACTAAACAGAAGAGGCGAGTCTGAAATTAGACATTGTTTGTAAGCAATTAAATGGTTTACTAATAAATACATATTCAACTCTGCCTTTTAAAACCACATATTTATAGCTTTACTAAGAATATATGATGTTATGTTTTCAAATTAACTATATATGCTATTAGAAACAAGTGCTTATTTGGTGAGTATGCTATTTTGTAAAAACATCTTGGTTTAATAGGTTTTGTACATATGCATTGGTTGAAGCACAAGGAAAAAAATAGAATGAAAACTAACATTAGGGACTGACAAGATAACGTATAAATTTACTGGATAATTTGAAGAACTTAGTGTTGCAAGTATGTAATGTTTCAATACACATTATATCGGTAGTCCTGTGTATGGCTGGCATGGACATGCAAGTAAGTACATCAAAAAATGTTCTGGTCAGAACATTCTATGGAATTCCAGAATGTTAAGATTTCCCCAAGACCAAGCTCATCCAGATGTTTGGATGGAATCCAGCAGTTTTCCTGAAGTAAATCTACCAGCATGTTAAGTGGTTTGTGAAGTTCTGGAAAGTTAACTTGTAGAAAACTGCCAGACAAACCTAGTTTGGAGGAAGAAGAGAACATTTTGGGGTTTCCTGGAACATTCAGTTTCTGGAATAACATTTTGCACATACTTACATTAAAGAATAATTGAGTCTTTTCAATACATATTTATACACAGAATTAAGAAGTGCTTGTTTCTATTATCATTACTTACTCTACTGGTTGTGACCAAGAACTTCAGCCCACCCACTTCATTCATTCATATATATATATATATACACACACACACGCGTGCGC